GTGTCTGATTGTCTGCAATGTTATGTCTGATTGTCTGCAATGTTATGTCTGATCTGTTGTCTGCAATGTTATGTCTGGTTGTCTGCAATGTTGTGTCTGATTGTCTGCAATGTTGTGATTGTCTGCAATGTTGTGTCTGATTGTCTGCAATGTTATGTCTGATTGTCTGCAATGTTATGATCTGCAATGTTGTGTCTGATTATCTGCAATGTTATGTCTGGTATCTGCAATGTTGTGTTGTCTGCAATTGTCTGCAATGTCTGATTGTCTGCAATGTTATGTCTGATTGTCTGCTGATTCTGTCTGCAATGTTGTGTCTGATTGTCTGCAATGTTATGTCTGATTGTCTGCAATGTTGTGTCTGATTGTCTGCAATGTTGTGTCTGGTTGTCTGCCAATGTTATGTCTGATTGTCTGCAATGTTATGTCTGATTGTCTGCAATGTTGTGTCTGGTTGTCTGCAATGTTGTGTCTGAATGTTGTCTGCAATGTTGTGTCTGATTGTCTGCAATGTTATGTCTGATTGTCTGCAATGTTATATCTGATTGTCTGCAATGTTATGTCTGGTTGTCTGCAATGTTGTGTCTGATTGTCTGCAATGTTATGTCTGATTGTCTGCAATGTTGTGTCTGATTGTCTGCAATGTTATGTCTGATTGTCTGCAATGTTGTGTCTGTCATATTGTGACCCAGCGAGTAAATCGCCTTTGGAATGGAGTTGACCCCTGGAGGAGTAACCAAAAACTTGAATCTTCATGGTGGAAATTTTTGTGTGTATTTATCTTGTTGTATATTCTTCAGCCCTATGTCTACCTATAGGTATCTATGAATTCTCTAGCAAAATAAAAGCCTTAAATAATGTATTCTTCCTGGGCACATCATGCTTGAAGGAAACGCTCGGAAGGAACAACACATTTCTACTTTCCTGAAAGTCTTTTATCCCCATGTGATGATAGTCCATCGAAGCTATCTCATATTGTGAGTTAACAAGAAGAGAAGGTAGTGGTAACAGAACCACAAATATTAGCTTCACATATTTGAACAGCAATCGTAGTTTGCCAAAAGCACCAGCAAATGTCAACAAAATGTAGACACCATATATTATTTACTTGATTTCTGAACTCTGAAGACACATTCCAAGTGCTAGCATTAAAGCTAGCTTCAGAAGACACAGCCAAAACCACTTGTGTGAAATACACAGGATTCTCCCTGTGAAGAACACATCATTGAATGGTGGGGCACCTGCGGCCAAACACTTCCTCCATAAAACACAACTATCACTTGTAAACGTCATTGTCAAGTATGTTGGTGTTTTTTCTAGGAATCTCAAAGATAGGCTGAAAATAGACATGGACTTTTAGCTTGATTTGAAAAGAATTTTTCCCTGATCTGTCAGCCCTGCTACTGATAGAAAGGTCATTTAGTCTGTTCGCTATTTGAAACAAGGTTCCGTAGTGTCTGAAATGTTCACTTTCAGCAGACCTGCCAGACTCAAGGGGATGTATCAATAAGATGTGGAATTGCAGAGTTATATTTAGTGCAATGTGTATTTGAGGCAGTGCCAAGACGGATGGTTTTGCCTGGCTACTTGCTTGTGTGGTTGAGCAATGTGAATAATGTTGCATTGCAATGCTGGAACATTCAAGTCAGTGCTCAGTTGGAGGGTTGGTCAAGGGGATGACAGTGGTTGGTGAGGTGGTTGGGTCAAGGGGATGACAATGGTTGGTGAGGTGGTTGGGTCAAGGGGGAGACTGGTTGGTGAGGTGGTTGGGTCAAGGGGATGACAATGGTTGGTGAGGTGGTTGGGTCAAGGGGAGACAATGGTTGGTGAGGTGGTTGGGTCAAGGGGAAGACAATGGTTGGTGAGGTGGTTGGGTCAAGGGGAGACAATGGTTGATGAGGTGGTTGGGTCAAGGGGGAGACAATGGTTGGTGAGGTGGTTGGGTCACAAGGGGATGACAGTTGAACAATGTGAATACAATGTTATGTTACATTGCAATGCTGGAACATTCAAGTCAGTGCTCAGTTGGAGGGTTTGGTCAAGGGGAGACAGTGGTTGGTGAGGTGGTTGGGTAAAGAGGAGACAATGGCTGGTGAGGTGGTTGGGTCAAGGAGTGACAATGGCTGGTGAGGTGGTTGGATCAAGGGGAGACAGTGGTTGGTGAGGTGGTTGGGTCAAGGGGAGACAATGGTTGGTGAGGTGTTTGGGTCAAGGGGGAGACAATGGTTGGTGAGGTTGTTGGGTCAAGGGGCCACAGTGGTTGATGAGGTGGTTGGGTCAAGGGGATGACAGTGGTTGGTGAGGTGGTTGGGTCAAGGGGAAGACAATGGTTGATGAGGTGGTTGGGTCAAGGGGATGACAGTGGTTGGTGAGGTGGTTGGGTCAAGGGGATGACAGTGGTTGGTGAGGTGGTTGGGTCAAGGGGATGACAGTGGTTGGTGAGGTGGTTTGGTCAAGGGGATGACAATGGTTGGTGAGGTGGTTGGGTCAAGGGGGTCAAGGGGATGACAGTGGTTGATGAGGTGGTTGGGTCAAGGGGATGACAGTGGTTGGTGAGGTGGTTGGGTCAAGGGGAGACAATGGTTGATGAGGTGGTTGGGTCAAGGGGATGACAGTGGTTGGTGAGGTGGTTGGGTCAAGGGGGAGACAGTGGTTGATGAGGTGGTTGGGTCAAGGGGATGACAATGGTTGATGAGGTGGTTGGGTCAAGGGATGACAGTGGTTGGTGAGGTGGTTGGGTCAAGGGGGGACAGACAGTGGTTGGTGAGGATGACGGTGGTGGTGAGGTGGGTCAAGGGGATGACAATGGTTGGTGAGGTGGTTGGGTCAAGGGGATGACAATGGTTGGTGAGGTGGTTGGGTCAAGGGGATGACAATGGTTGATGAAGGGGATGACAGTGGTTGGGTCAAGGGGACAGTGGTTGGTGAGATGGTTGGGTCAAAGGGGAGACAATGGTGGTTGGTGAGATGGTTGGGTCAAGGGGATGACAGTGGTTGGTGAGGTGGTTGGGTCAAGGGGATGACAGTGGTTGGTGAGGTGGTTGGGTCAAGGGAGATGACAGTGGTTGGTGAAGTGGTTGGGGTCAAGGGGATGACAGTGGTTGGTGAGGTGGTTGGGTCAAGGGGATGACAATGGTTGGTGAGGTGGTTGGGTCAAGGGATGACAGTGGTTGGTGAGGTGGATTTGGGTCAAGGGGATGACAATGGTTGGTGAGGTGGGATTTGGGTCAAGGGGATGACAGTGGTTGATGAGGTGGTTGGGTCAAGGGGATGACAGTGGTTGGTGAGGTGGTTGGGTCAAGGGGGACACAATGGTTGGTGAGGTGGTTGGGTCAAGGGGATGACAGTGGTTGGTGAGATGGTTGGGTCAAGGGGGAGACAATGGTTGGTGAGGTGGTTGGGTCAAGGGGACGACAGTGGTTGATGAGGTGGTTGGGTCAAGGGGATGACAGTGGTTGGTGAGGTGGTTGGGTCAAGGGGGAGACAGTGGTTGGTGAGGTGGTTGGGTCAAGGGGATGACAGTGGTTGGTGAGGTGGTTGGGTCAAGGGGATGACAATGGTTGGTGAGGTGGTGGTTGGGTCAAGGGGATGACAATGGTTGGTGAGGTGGTTGGGTCAAGGGATGACAGTGGTTGGTGAGGTGGTTGGGTCAAGGGGATGACAATGGTTGATGAGATGGTTGGGTCAAAGGGATGACAGTGGTTGGTGAGGTGGTTGGGTCAAGGGGATGACAGTGGTTGGTGAGGTGGTTGGGTCAAGGGTGACAGTGGTTGGTGAGGGAGATGGTTTGGTCAAGGGGATGACATTGGTTGGTGAGGTGGTTGGGTCAAGGGGATGACAGTGGTTGGTGAGGTGGTTGGGTCAAGGGATGACAGTGGTTGGTGAGGTGGTTGGGTCAAGGGGATGACATTGGTTGGTGAGGTGGTTGGGTCAAGGGATGACAGTGGTTGGTAGAGGTGGTTGGGTCAAAGAGGGGTTGACAGTGGTTGGTGAGAGTGGTTTAGATGTCAAGGGATAGACAGTGGTTGGTGAGATGGTTGGGTCAAGGGGAGACAGTGGTTGGTGAGGTGGTTGGGTCAAGGGGAGACAGTGGTTGGTGAGGTGGTTGGGTCAAGGGGACAGTGGTTGGTGAGGTGGTTGGTCAGGGGATAACAGTGGGCTGGTCAAGGAGATACACAGTGTTGAATAAGGGGGCTTTCAAGGGGACCAGTGTGACCTCCAAATGACAGATTTGGGAGCTCTGTATAGGAAGGGAGGGCGGCTGACAATCTGCTCATCCTACATAACCAGTTTTTAGGTCTGGTCCAACTTTTCATGAAAAACTTAGAAAAAATGATTTTCTCCACTGAATTGAAATAAAGTGTTTTAGTGCAATAGTAACATAAATTTGATACAAAGCAAACAGACAATAAAACTAGGAACAGGTTATGTTTGACATCATACTCAACACAATAACCCTGTAACATTTTCAAAGTTAATCGCTTTAGGGAAAGATGTTTCAGGTAAATATTTCTGTATTAAATGTCCATCTTGGAAAAAACCCAATAAATCCTGTATCAGAGCTCCAGATAAGATTTAGCTCATGTGGGTTACCCACTGTAATTTTGCATTTTCCGTTACCCACTGCTTTCAAATATGTGCTATTTCAGTCATTTTACTCACCTAAGTATATGTCATTGAGTAAGTTTACTAAGCAGGTGTGTTCAATACCTAATCAAAACCAACTTTAATATAATGGAAATGATTTCATAAAAATTACTCATCCTATACTGACAGTACAGCACTTGTCCAATACTAACAGTACAACTTGTGTCTTTTTTCATTACGAATTTGTTTTAAACTTTTGGCGTATCTAAAATTTTAAATGCGTAATTGTATATTTTTCCATGTTTAAATGCCCGGATGATCTACGAATATTCCCTCAAGCGGGTGAACGATAGCAACTACTTCCTGCCTGGCATCTTGCTGTTTGTTCCGCCAGACTGAAGTCAGTACTGTGTCACCAGGTAGTGTAGAGAATACACTGTTCTCACTACAGGCACTCACTTTACAAAGTGTTCATATTCTCCAGCCCATTGGGTGTTAGGACAGGGTGACGATATGTAACACTACGGGTCAGCGAGCATTCAAGTGAGAGGGGAGAGGCCCACAGAATGGAGGGAGACAGAGTGTTTGAACAAGATGACCCAGGTCAGTGATAACGTGATAATGATAATGCCTCATTATCAAGGCAGGGGGAGGGGACAGGAAGGAAAAGCTGTGTTAACTCATCATATCACAGTTAATACTTTCACAATACAAGCAGACTGCTGAGAGCTTGTTGATCACACTGCATATCTTTATCATGTCGGGGAAATGGAGTAAACTGGTGGTGTAAACACATGTTTGTTGGTGGTTGCAGTTTCAGTTTCATCTTTCAGTTAATCTGAAACAACAGTCTATTTTCAAAGGATCTTATTCATGACTATTCCTGTGAAACTGTCCTGCGATTGTCCAAACATGTTCTAATAAAAATATGTTTGATAGAATTTTATCTGTATTTTAAAAACATGAGATTCACGATTATTAAAAGTTACACAGCGATATGGGCATTGTCTGATAACAGTTGTTGATTGATTATTCAATTACTCTGTATTAGTGGTGGTCCGATTAATTGAAATAATCGAAGATGGGTCGCAGTGACTAAACGACCTAGCAATCAATCATGTTTTCTCATAATCAAACACAAACAATTCTGGACCACTTGTTTTCATTAACAAAATATTTCACAAGGCTGGTTTTGTCTGTTACATTTCATAAGCACTACAAATTCGTTCCAAGTCATGATTGAATTTATCTTCAAGACTCCAAGAAATTTATGTTCGTAACATCCTTGCCATCCTTTAAAGATGTGAAATTTTGCCAAAAAAACCCCAAAGAACTACATGTTTGTTCCTTATTTTCTTTGTGCATTGACAAATTTCATAAATAACACTAACCAATTATTTTCGATGATTGATCGGTTGTAATGAAGCAATCATCAATTATGAGATTTTAACCAATTCTACTCTGTATATTGTCTACTGATGCAAAAGTGTTTTATGCATCTTTATGATTATGTTAATTATATATTTTTGATGCCCTGTCGTGTATTTCAAAAAGAAAACATCATTGTATGAAAACACTTTTGTAATATATGCTCAGATTTTATTTTTTAGCATATAAACACTTCATGATATGTAATCGTACATTGTTTGAGTATGAAATATTCCAGTTATTACACAAAATAAGTGATAAGATGTAATTGATTGGTTTGAATTAGCATGTATTACATGTAGTTGATAATGAAGTTGTTTAATAATTCAACACTATCATACCAACATACCTTGACACTCCATTTTAAAGCAGTTGTATTGATTATGAGTGTTGGGGGGCAACTAACAGGATCAGGTGGTCAGGCCAACTGGCTCGGTTGATGCATGTCATTGAGGGCGTTGTCAATTACCGGATTGTCTGGTCCATATTCAATTCTATAAGACTTCCATCATAACACATGTGCATTGTTAAACAGCAAAACGTGTATGCATTGTTACACAGCAAAACGTGTGTGCATTGTTACACAGCAAAACGTGTGTGTGCATTGTTACACAGCAAAACGTGTGTGTATTGTTACACAGCAAAACGTGTGTGTATTGTTACACAGCAAAACGTGTGTGTGCATTGTTACACAGCAAAATGTGTGTGCATTGATAAACAACAATACATGTGTGCATTGTTACACAGCAAAAATGTGTGTGCATTAAACAACCTAACATGTATGCATTGTTAACCAACAAAACGTGTGCATTGTTAAACAGCAAAATGTGTGTGCATTGTTACAACAAACTAACCATTCCAAAAACGTGTGTGTGTATTGTAAACAACGAAAACGCTGTGCATTGTAAAACAACGAAAACGTGTGTGCATTGTAAAACAACAAAAATGTGTGTGCATTAAACAACCTAACATGTATGCATTGTTAACCAACAAAACGTGTGCATTGTTAAACAGCAAAATGTGTGTGCATTGTTACAACAAACTAACCATTCCAAAAACGTTATGAGGAGAAATCCCATACTGAAACATGCAGCTTACCAATCGCCGGAATCGTTCGTGAAATGTAATGTGTTTGAATATTTTAATGGGCGGCTTCAACAAGCAATCCAAACACAGAATTAGTCTCCTTCTATGGCATTAGAAGCAGACTAATGGCACATCTATTATTCGTAATGAGCAATGATTGTTTAAAAAATTGTATCTGGTGTTGAAGGCCCATTGCTATGGCAATCTATGACCATATTTGGAGTGATCAATGTACAATCACATCCTGGATGTAGAAAACATTAGTGTTTCCATGTTGCTTTTGTCCTTGAAGGGACTCACAGACAGATTGGTCCTCAATAACCCATGCTAGTCTGTCTCACAGTGAACCACATTTTTTCCCCCAATGCCTTGTCCTCCTGCAATGCTGGACCGCCTCCGTGGTGTAGTGGTTAGAGCGTCCGCCCAATGAAGCAAGTCTAGATTCCTTCAGGTTCTGAATCTCTCATCTTACTGGGGCTCCTTTTCTATTTAAATGGATTTATTTGTTGCTGTCTTTTTATCAGGGACTAAGCATTAATCTATAACCCCCTGAGAATGGAACAGGTCTATGTACTCTATGCTTGTCTTCCCCATAGGGTGTCTTCAACAGAAAAGACCTGTGAAGATCCAGGCTAGAAAGAATCTATGATCTTCAGTAACCCCATGTTGTAAGAGGCGACTAACGGGATTGGGTGGTCAGGCTTGCCGACTTGGTTGACATATGTCATGGGTTCCCAATTGCGTAGATCGATGCTCATGCTGTTGATCACTGGGTTGTCTGGTCCAGACTCGATTATTTACAGACCACTCACTCACTCACTCATGCAACAGAAAAGGTCTCCCATATTCAATGCTTGTCTTCCCCATAGGGTATCACTACAGAATGAATCTCTACACTCTATGCTTGACCTCCCCATGGGGAATAACTCACTCACTCACTCTTACTGCATTAGACATGTTACCAAAAACTAAGGATAAAAGAATTTTTCCTTAAAGGTCACATGCAACGTAAAACACAACTTTGCAGATTCTGATACCTTTCAGTATGGACTTACCGAAACAAATCGTCAAAAATGCAAATTCAACTTATAAAGTTGAAAAATAACGCGATGAAAAAAACCGCGCGAAATCGGAGTTCAAACGTTTCACTAATTGTCCCCAGACTTTTCTGGGGAAAACGGGTTTCACACGTGCGCAGTGAAGCAGGTTCGCAGCTTGGAAACGGGTTGTCCGGTGAATACTTTCGGTGAAGGCTTTGGTGTGGGCTATTTTTCTAATGTTTTGTTGATATCTCACAGGCGAGCTTTTATATGTTATGACAGTAAATTAACTGTTTATATAATTTCATTTGTCTATTTCACCACACGTTCTTCTTACCGAGTCACTTTCTCAGTTCGATGCTTAAAAGCAATGTCATTATTTAGCGTTGACAGAATTTCTAACTGTGATATAGATATGTCGTTGTCACAGACTAAACTCAATGTCTTGTTTTATTGACACCTGTGTGTCTGCCTGCCTGTCTGCTAATGACAATATTCAATACACAGCTGCTATCACTGACCACATGCAATTTGAACTTAACACCAATCAGGCTATACACCATAAACAAAATGCATTGATTTATGGCCCGAGTTCGGTCTCTGTCACATTATGTAATTACACAGACAGGCAGGTGTGATACTTGAACACATGACATGTTATGATGTCTGTTGATTGCAAAATGTTATACACAAAAAATGAGCATGTATTTACAAAACCCAACATCTCTATATATATACACACACAATCAGCCGTGAGGGCATCTGCAAATGAACCAGCCGTTACACTTGAGTGCACACCCACCCGCTCTGACTGGGTTCGGTATCCCGGCTGCTTCGTTTCTTGGGAAGTGAACCGAAGTACACAATATTGCACTTTTGATTTGCGATTGTACGCTTATAATTTTGTTTATATGTTTTTTCATAACCAGCAATGTATATTATATGTCATGAATAAGTGATAATTGTGTTTTAATTATGTTTGATTTTTTGGTTGCATGTGACCTTTAAATTATTTGTGATAAGTTATGGGTGTGCCTTGCTTTTCACCGGATTGGCAGTTGAGGAAGTGGTCTGCTATGTAAGTGAGGTAATTAAAACATGGCTGAGCAGTTGTTGCAGGGAGATTCTCTAGTCAGCAACAATGTCTGATGTATCGCGCCCTTGATGTTCACAATTAGAAGCTGATTAGTGCATAATGCCACGATGCAACCAATTGACATGATCTGCAGGTTAAGGAGGCCATCATTACATAGTTCATCTGAGGGAATTAGTTGCCAAAACTCAGCCGTAAAAACCCAGTTTAACCTCTTCCTCAGTGGGGTCACAGTGACCTTATTAGAGCCCTTGGCTTAATATCGCTGGTGTAACGTGTTCACAATCCCCACGGCTGTAACAACAGATTTGTAGTGGTACAGTATGCCTGTTGTGGAATACTAGACTAGGCTAGACTGATATCGAGTCTCTTGAATGAACTAGTTGTTAATTAGTTTTCATTTTTCTTATGATCATTTTTTTACTGATTATGTACAGGTTTATCTGATTATGTATGGACGTTAATACATACAGATTTAACAGATTGTACATGGAAGGTTTAACTGATAATACATAAAGATTTAACAGATTGTATATGGAAGGTATAACTGATTGTATATATATGGAAGATTTAACAGATTGTACATGGAAGGTTTAACTGATAATACATAAAGATTTAACAGATTGTATATGGAAGGTATAACTGATTGTATATATATGGAAGATTTAACTGATTGTATATGGAAGATTTTACAGATTGTACATGGAAGGTTTAACTGATAATACATAAAGATTTAACAGATTGTATATGGAAGGTTTAACTGATTGTATATATATGGAAGATTTAACTGATTGTATATGGAAGATTTTACAGATTGTACATGGAAGGTTTAACTGATAATACATAAACATTTAACAGATTGTATATAGAAGCTTTCACTGATTGTATGGAAAGTTTAACGGATTATATATGGAAGGTTTAACTGATTGTCTAAAGAATATTTAACTGATTGTATGTGGAAAGCTTTACTGATAATACTTCATCCCCTGTTGTTGTCATGTGTCTACGATATATTTCCTGCATCCTTTAGTGACCAGACCTGTGAAGGTGCAGGTTAGAATGTACCTTCAGTAACCTATGCTTGTCTTAAGAGGCGACTAACGGGATCGGGTGGTCAGGCTCACTGGCTTGGTTGACACATATCATCGGTTCCCAATCGCGCAGATCAATGCTCATGCTGTTGATCACTGGATTGTCTGGTCCAGACTCTATTATTTACAGACCACTGCCATATAGCTGGAATATTGCTGAGTGCGGCATAAAACTAAACTCACTCACTCACTCATCTTTAGTGACCTTAGTGTAAATGTTAGTTTGACTACATTTGACCAGCAACACCAAGTACTGACAGTATATTTCCTATTTGCTTAGTTATAAGGTTATATTGAATTATATGTTGGTATTATGTTGAATCATAGGGGGGTGGGTGGGGGTGGGGTGTGTGTTTTAGCCTTGTGGTTAAACCTTTCATGCCGAAGACTGGGTTCGATTTCCCTCATGGATACAATGTGTGAAGCCCAATTCTGGTGTCCCTTGCCATGACATTGCTGGATTATTGCTAAAACTACATATTAATGTGGGATAGTTAAGTGATAAAGGTGGTGCTTGACAGGCCAATTTAGGCCTGCGTTTACTTCCCCCAGACTCATACAATGTCTGATGCTAATTTCCCCATCCATGATATGGCTATCAGTATCTTGCAAAGAGTGACATAAAGCTATACTCACTGAAATAGTGAAAGAACGAACAAGTTCAGTCCAATTTTACTGATATCAAGTCATATTCCACAAAGGTCATGCCGTCACCTTTGGGACCCATTTGGTTGGAAATAATAGTCAGTAGGCGTGTTCATGGATTCATTTGAACCAGGTTATAAGAGCTCAGTAGCAAATAACAACCTCCATGAAATTTTAATTCCAATACATATCAATAATTTGCTCTGCCATTTCAAGCAAATAAAGGCAAGAGACTGGCAACGATGGTGGAGTTTTCCACTGGCAAATTGAGGGCATCTGCCGTGTGTCATATTCTCATCACAAGAAGGTGATGATTTGATTTCTCAAGGATAATGCATTTGAAACAAAGTTGAGATTCCGTGATTGAGGCAATCGAAACAGAAGCATGGGCTTGGCAGTCGCAGCCAGGATTTGTAAAGAAAAGTGTAACAGCAGCTAGCTTCATTTAGTTTTATCTTCATGTGATTGAACACATCTTTTGCCAAGAGGAACCTTTCTTCATGATTTACGAGGATAATTTTGAAGGACTGATTGGCTTTGAAACTTTAAATCTGTGATCCACAAGTCTAAATACTGATAAAATGTAAGAAAACCTTACAAGGGAAAATGTTAGGTCTGGGATTCACTGGATATTGAGCAAATTGACTTCTGCTTGGTAGCGAGCTTCACTTTTCAACCCTGTCAATTTAGGGTGAGCAAGGCTGAGATTTACAGAAAGCAACGACATTTTAGGATTGATGTATTGCTACTTAAATAGAATGACTGTTTTAGGGTTTGTGATTGATAAGAATTTAATACGAGATATTTGGTTCGCTTGATGGAGGTTGAGAATGTTTCCACAAAATTTAACAGTCATGGATTTTTGCTTAACTTTTTGTCTTGTTTATTTTCAGATTCTGTTTATTGGTTTTTGGATGAAGAGTTGTGTGATCACAGCATGAGGTAAGTTGAGGAAAGGTCTTTAGGCATGTTTGAAGTAATATTCTTGATTTGTGTGACCAGTTTTGAAGTTTGGTGGGAATGGAGAATTAATCTTGTACAGATAAAAATGTGAGGGAGAAAATCATTAGCTTCTCTCAATTAGATGCCAGCTTTGGGACCAAGTAATGTGACGTCTGCTCTCAGGATCCAGTCAATATTCATTGACATAATGTGTTCATCCAGCAGTGACTAAATATTCAAATCTGTGATGCTGGAACTTGAATATTGCTAAAAGTTGCATAAAAAGTCTGACTAAATTACACAAATATATTTGAGGCTTTTAGGGTGTTCAAATCCAAAGGAGCTAAAGGAAGTAAATGATAAGATATTTACTGGGGAAGGCTTGTTTCTCATTGATGACCTTTCTGAATCATGGAATGGGGCTCGATTTTCTTGTTAAACTGTCATGTGATGAATAGGAAGTCAGCTGATGAAGTGTTCGTCATTGAATTTTACACACATTGGACTTGACAAGGGGGATTTGTTGATCAAGAGCAAGCTTCATCTCATGCTGTCTAGCTGAGCTGTCCAGAGCTTTAAGGCATTTAGAGTACACACGTTCTTCATAGCCTACATTCCTTTATGTGGAGGAGATGTGTATGTTGTTTTCACTGTCCATCACAATTTGGATTGGACGATGGGGTAGCCTAGTGGTTCAAGTGTTCGCTTGTCACTCCAAAGACCTGAGTTCAATTCCCCACATGGGTACAATGTATGAAGCAACCCGATGTGATATTGCTGGAATATTGCTAAAAGGGGCGTAAAACTAAACTCACTCACTCACTCACAGTTCAGAGACAGTGTATGTTGTCCTTTTGGTTTTGTTTTCAGCAGATGTCCTTAGTCCTTATAGTATTTAATATGAATATATATCAACAAAATAGAAAAGAAAAAACCCAGAGTCCAGAACATTCCTTAAGCTGACTATTCAGAACTTGCCAAATCATTCTACATTTAAGCTTGACACCTTTGTAATTCATTGTCTTGAGTCGGGGAGCCGGACAGTGTCATTTTATCTGTGTGTAGGTGACATACAACACGGCATGTTTTGTCCTTCACTGTCTCTGTGTCTGGTCAGACCCGAATTCCAAGTCCAGCCGACAGTTTTACACGTTTAATCGTCTTTAAAAAACTGAACAGACTTTGGAATCCAAACAGGAGTTCTTATGTATTGATTTCAGTTTGGATCAAGTTGTTTCTTGAGTACAGAAGCCGTACTACAACGTTTTGGTATATGTAGGCAGGTTTCATCCAAAGTGGAAAGAGCTGTTACAGTGACACAGGTTTAGACTGGGCTATTATCTAAACTTCAAATTCTTTCCTGAAAGTGTAAAAAATGACAACTTGATTGGTTTCTCCATGACGAGGATGTTGATGTAGGCATCGGAAACCAAGATTTGTTGATGGAGAGGATATGGTTTCTGGAATTACGATAAGAACCGTTGTTTTCCATATTTAGTAGAAGAGAAATATACAGCAGGGAAAAGGCAACAGTCCAACTCATGTATTGAATATGTCATGCTGAGCTTGAAACCTGAATCTGCATAATCAATACATTATTTCAAGCAGGACAATAGAAGCCGTATATCTATTGTTGTGTAACTGTTATGGCCAGTAACACCAGAGATAATAATATTTACATACTAGTAAGTTGCTCTTCCTTATGTTCAGTGAATTAGACAAGTACCACTTAGACCCTCGGTAACCCTTGTCATGAGGTGGAGTGAGTGGAGTGGAGTGAGAAAACTTCCTCAACTACCAATCCTGTGAAAGGCAAGGCACACCCATTACTTATCACCAGTAATTTAAGGAATTCCCTGCACCCTTGGTTTTGTGTAACATGTCTAATGCAGAGTGAGTGAGTTTAACCTCTAGGCTACCCCATCGCCTCTCCTGATACTAGAAGAAAACCGGACAAGTGTGAAGTTGTAGATTAGTGTGCAGATACATGGACCTCCATGATCTGAACACAACTGAGAAGTGTTTTATTGAGAACAGATTAGTGGATCTTGAAAAAGTGTTCTGTTCATGCTTTCAAGACTGATTTGTGTGTACAGTGTTATTTTACAGCTGGCAAGGTACTCTTGTATGACCAATAAGGAGTTAACAGTGTTATCTTACAGCTGGCAAGGTACTCTGTATGACCAATAAGGTGTTAACAGTGTTATTTTACAGCTGGCAAGGTACTCTGTATGACCAATAAGGTGTTAACAGTGTTATTTTACAGCTGGCAAGGTACTCTGTATGACCAATAAGGTGTTAACAGTGTATGACCAATAAGGTGTTAACAGTGTTATTTTACAGCTGGCAAGGTACTCTGTATGACCAATAAGGTGTTAACAGTGTTATTTTACAGCTGAGGAGGTACTCTGTATGACCAATACCAATAAGGTGTTAACAGTGTTATTTTACAGCTGGCAAGGTACTCTGTATGACCAATAAGGTGTTCACAGTGTTATTTTACAGCTGGCAAGGTACTCTGTATGACCAATAAGGTGTTAACAGTGTTATTTTACAGCTGGCAAGGTACTCTGTATGACCAATAAGGTGTTAACAGTGTTATTTTACAGCTGGCAAGGTACTCTGTATGACAAATAAGGTGTTCACAGTGTTATTATTTTACTCTATGTGACAATAAGGTGTTAATAGTGTTATTTTACAGCTGGCAAGGTACTCTGTATGACCAATAAGGTGTTAACAGTGTTATTTTACAGCTGACTGTATGACCAATAAGGTGTTCTGTTATTTTGCAGCTGGCAAGGTACTCTATGTGACAAATAAGGTGTCAGTATTATGTAAGGTACTCTGTACAAATAAGGTGTTCAGTATTATTTTACAGCTGGCAAGGTACTCTATGTGACAAATAAGGTGTTCACAGTGTTATTTTACCACTGGCAAGGAACTCTATATCACCAATAAGGTGTTCAGAGTGTTTTATGGTGAAGGGTATTTATGAGATCACTTATATCAAATGTTGCTCAGTGTAATGTATTGTGATTGATAATTTGAAATGAAACTTCCCAAGTTTAAATTTGAAGTTTATTCAAAACTGATTTCATTGAATTGGGGGTACACAAGGGGTGACATTTTTCTTGGTTAATGATCAAGAAATTGTTAGCTTGTGATCATACAAAAAACAACCATGACTGATTTTTATTGAGGTCTTAAATATTTATGACGTAAACATTTTTTCAAACTTCAATAATGGTAATCCTTACAGGGGTAGTTTAAGATATGGGGAGGTGGTCTGACGCTAGGTATAACTAGAATTGTAAAACAAATAAACTTATTGAAAAGGTGTATTTTTGAAACATTAATGTTACATTTTCGTTGGTTAAATTTGGCCCGGCAGCGGAATTTGCTTTGAGTAAAATCTTCCACAGACAGACTAATGAATATCACATGCTTCTAATTTCTACCAAAATAACCATGTTTACAAGATCCAAGAAGTTAAAATAAGATTTCTTTCTTTTTGCATGATGTTCATGTTAGCATCCTGTTTCTGTAAACTATAGATCATGAATCTTTGCTGCATAAGTCAGCCAATCAGATCCAGTCAGTTCCGGTTTGACCGCCTCCGTGGTGTAGTGGTTAGAGTGTCCGCCCGGAGAGCAGAAAGTCGCGGGTTCCATCCCCAACCGCATCATACCAAAAGACATTAAAATATGGTACTTGTTGGTCCCTGCTTGGCGTTTGGCATTAATGGGTACAACAAGGACTGGTCGGCTCGGACTCAGTATAATGTGTCTGAGTGGGGTATTCATGCTTCACTGCGGCATGGTATCTCAGTGGGCTAGCACTATAAAACCAGCTTAAGTCTGGGCTAGTACAAGCAGCCGCACATACACATACACACGCATGCACGTCGTCATATGAGCGAAATATTCTCAAGCACGACGTAAACCCAATTTCACCTCACCTCTGTTCCGGTTTAGTCTAGAGTCTGAAACAAGAAAGCTGAATGTACCACAGGTCATCGTCTTCCCTAGGGCTTCAGAACAAAATGGTTGTCTGGATGTAATGACAGTTTTGTCCTTTTCTTGATATATGTTACCATGAATACAGAGAAAGGTTAAAGACATTAGAGTTGTATGTTCATAAAACATGAAATCAAACACTGTGCTGATTGAAGCTAACAAATGTCAACACATGATCTGATCAAAATCATCTGATCATACTGATGTGTAGACGGTCAGTTTACGTGTGCAGCCTTGATCTAACACAGAAAAGTTGTCATGTAGTGGGATAGTCACAAATTTATTTGGATTTTAACATAGGAAAAAATGTTAAGGCTACAATTTGTTATCTGCATGGACTCTGGGTTTGGGTAACTAACGTAGAAAGTGTCTTGATGAACTGTGGGTTTGTCAAGAGCAGGAAGATGAATATGTTTAGGACTTGGTCAGAATCTTAGACATTTTCTTCTTTTAGTTTTCCTGTGAAGTATGTGGTGCAGCCTGTGCATCTGTTGTCGAGTTCTATCTGTAGTCTGTCTCACAGTCCCTGAACCACAATTTTTCCCCCTCCCTGCAATGTTAAAGCTCTACATGGTGCAAGTCCAGATTTCCCCGGGTTCTCCTAACTCACTGGGGTTCCTTTTCAACTTAAATGGGCTTATTTGTTACAATCAAAATTATATATATTCAGGGTCTAAGCATTAGTCTATTATATCTGTTGTACAGTTGTATCTGTTGTGCATTGGGGCAATGTAGAAAAGAACAAAACAAATTCCAATCTGCTGTATTGAAGGAAGCGCATGACCCTGATGAAATGCATTACAAGCAATAAGGCTGCTGAGTGATAAATATTTTACCATTTAATACAAAGTTTTGTAATAGCTGGAACTAACTATAGATCTGTTGACGTGCTGATTAGATCAGTTTCCCTGTGAGGAAATGCAAAAATCAATATCATGATAATGTTTATAAATGTGCGAATAAATACACATGAAATCTGGGCTGCCTTGTTTGATTACAGCTAATTATGTGCAAATGTGATGATTACTTGCAGTTTGGTCTTGAGGTAAATCGAGGTGCTTATGTTTGACCGTTGCTTAATTATGGTGATCATGATGTTGAAGATTTAGAAAGAAAAGTTTATCTTTTTCAGAACAACATTTTATTCTGCTTGATTTCACAAGTCTTTTGCTCCTGGTCAGAGGACATGTTGAAAATATGTTGACATGGAGAACTTGATCATTATTGTGTAATAGGACAGCTCTATTAGTTAAATTTATCGTAACCATGGCGATAGAAATAACTGAGGTATTTATTTTATTTCTTGGTTACAGATATTTCTATTCTCTTGCTAAAGATAGTTGGTAAATAGTTGGGGGAAAATATAAAATTAAGACATTTCAGAATACCTTTTGATGTTAAAAAATATCAAATGTTTTGCCATGTGAGCAAGCGTGTCAACAGGTCCTGCAGTCAGCCAGCTGTACTCGATATTTTGTGGTGAACACATAAGATTGCAAGGGGAAAAATGGAATGGAAGTCGTGATTAAGTTTTTATTTCCACAGAATCTGTAATCCAATTAACGTGTACAAAGGGATAATACAATGTCCAGAATTAGGCATGAAGTCAAAGGGTCTTCTGGAATCAAGGGTCTTCAAGTCCGCCTGGTGGGGTTTCGCCAAGAAGCTCGTGCCTGACATGTGAGGTGACTCCTGAGTGCAACACCAGCAACACCACTGATACTACCCTCGCAACATCGTATACTGTTTGAAAGGAAGCATGAATGTCATGGGTTCCTTAGCATAACTCAAATATTAATAGGAAAACAAAGAAGGGCGTAGATTTAGATTGCATATAAAAGCAAACATCAAGGCACACAGGGGGCTGATCCACAGAGTATTTGTAGCGTTACGTTATCCATAAGCGTATGATAAACTATAGTTATGATAGATAATGATATGAACACTTTGTGGATTGGCACCCTGGGCCCCATTTTACAAAGCGATTGATGTAGCGCTAAGGTTATCGGAACTATAGTTCATGATAGTGGTACCGCTACAATCGCTTTGTGAAACTGGCCCCTGGTCTGTTAATTTTGAACACTGTGAATGTAGGTGTTTAAAGGACTGTCTGTTTTTGCAACTGCAACATGTGATAAACTCTGTCATACAAAGTAATTAGAGTAATGGTTCTTGATTGTTCTCACGCCTACGTAAACGCTGCCCTGAGGTGATTGTGAATGAGAATAGCTCCCAATCCTTCCACAAGTGTGGAGTAAAGAGGATCTGGTTGTGTGAATGTCTAACCTGTCTGATGTATGTCAACATGTCCTGATGATGGGAATGTTTTCTCAAGCTGTCCATCTTGTCAGATTATACACAGGCTGTTGAGATGGAACTGGAATACTATTGGCATGTACAACAATTCACTTAGCCAGTACTCATACAGTCAATTTGCTGGAGTACACTGCTCAGTGTGTGATATGTTATGTAAACCAGAAATATCTCCTTCCTGTAAACTGGAAAATGTACTGAGCATTGTGCTGCTTTAATGGATTCTCCTGAGGTAGTGAATGCATGGCAGACGAGCTCCACTACCCAATTGATTACGAAGTGGCAGATGACATTTTTACAAAGTGATGCAGACACGCCAACTAAAAAATGGCTTTGAGGGGTTTGTTTAGATCTAATAAAATTCCCCCTCATGCATTAGAATGGTAAGCCATTCGGTGTGGATCAATTCCAGCATGATGCTGAGGCTGTAGTGTTCCTGCTTCCTGCTGCTGTCTTCAGAGCTGGCCATGCTCCACTGATCCTGGCGCTTGCTACACAGGAGTCTGCAGTGCCAGACATGAGTCATGCCGACTTTCTCCGCTTGCCAATATATGTGCTGAGACATGGAGAACGACTCGCACAGACCGGCTAACTGATATTTAGGAAATCGGATGGAAGAACTGTTCATGTTCAGAGCAGAAGGGATACCCTCAACCATATAACAAAATTGACACATTGGACATCCGTACCAGCACAAGGTAGAGGAATGTTCTTTTTTTCATCTTTAAAGATATGCAGGTAATGAATGTTTTGTCTTTAGACAAATATTCCTGATTTGTATCAGAAAAGCTGGAGTGCAGTGTGACATACGCTATTTTCTGTGTTTGTTCAAGGGTTAAGGTATTGAGATTGTGTTCACTTAGAAGTGATGAATGTCCTGTCTGAGGTAGATAAGCAGGTCTCATCCCAGCTTGTCGAAGTCTCTCCAATGACAGCCGTCTTTGTAGTGGATGTTGAATCCAAACTTCCTGATTGGGTTGAGGTCACTGTGGAATAATATTTCCTTGCTGAGAGAGATCATTGAGACTAATTTGACAGACTAGTGAAGCCTAGTGAGCCCTAGTTAATAACACATGTTTGTGTCATATCAGATACATTCCTGTGCCTCCATGTTGAAACTATCATTTTTTATATTTATTGGATGACACATCGGCCTTCCTATTTTCAGTAGAAGAAAAATATAATTCTCAGCATGTTTAGATTTATGTTATTTTCTGTAGCCACATTACACTAGCAACAATATTGTTTTTTAAAATCTTGTCATCTACGCTGATACAATGCTCAATCTGATATTATTATTTCACCAAATATAATTAATATTTCTCCAAATATATTCATGTTATATATCTAGAAAACTGCTCCTTGGCCTTCATAGAAGTTTTGACAAAATTATCTCCATTCTTTTGAAAAGTGTTTAACATATTCATATGATTAAGTCATTATTCATTCACATCTAAAGGTGTTGTTTCATATGAGTTTATTTATAGACAGTATTTTGTGTTTATTGATGATCAGGTTGAATACTTAAATAGATATTCTGGGTATCAAATACCAATAAAGTATTCATTACAAGGTAAACTTTCATTTGTCTTACATTTAAATAATGCAATGCCTTGGGAAATTGAACATCTTTAAATAAATTATGCCTTGCTACCATATATGGCAGACAGTAGCAAATGAAATAATCCGTCACCAAATTAATGTGGGTCTTGACCCATTTCCTAAGATGTGTCCTGAAAATCGTGATACACGATCTACCTTTGACATTTAAAATTTATTAAGAATTTATTCATCAAATGTCAGTTGCTGGTTACTTTACAGGCCACTTCATTATTTCTGGAATATATCCAGACTGGAGTAACATTCTCACTCACTCACTCACTCACTCACTCACTCACTCACTCACTCACTCACTCACTCACTCACTCACTCACTCACTCACTCACTCACTCACTCACTCACTCACTCACTCTTCTGAAAAGGCAATGGTCACTCTTCTGAAAAGGCAATGGTCACTTAAGAGCAGGATATAACACTGTGGAGATGTGAAGCTTGCAGTGAAAGAGTTAAAGGCAGGTAATGCTGGCACTATAATGAGGAAAATGTGACACTTTAAGAGCAGGATATAAGATGAAGATGAGAAGATTGCCATTAAAGGCTGGTAATATTTGCACTTGGAGGAAATTGTGATTTAAGACAAAATACAACTATAGATACTGCAAGTTATTCTTTAAAGGGTGGTTGGCATATGGAGGGAAGTATCTGGCTCTGTTGAGGGCAGATTCTGGCGCTATAGAGAGTATGGTCTGGTTCCATAGTGAGGTTTACCATATACTTAATAACTAGGGGTTCCACTGCAATTTCAGCTGTACAAAGCAGATTAATATTCTCAGCCAAATCCAGAAAGTAAGGTGTATTCAGACATGTTTTCCGACACTGAATACACAGGAGAGCCAAGACTTGACTTTGAAATCAAGGAGACCTATATTCATCCGGACACTTTTTCCATAAAGATGGCAGATCTGACTCCAATATTGACCAAGTAGAAAGGCATAATTTCATTCTGTCAGTCACAAAGCCTGTTTGATATACAGCATGACCTCCCAGAGATACTATTACCCAGCCCACTTGGGCATCCCTGAAATGCTGCTTCCCTACAACTGGGTATCAGGAGGTATATCATACAAACACTCAGATGATTCTATCTGTCAGCAGACACAAATTGAATAATTTCAACCGAAGCACTTCAGTTGTTATTGCACAAAGGTGGGAAGGTTGATTGGTAGTAGCCCATGAGATTTGTGTAAAAGTCCGTCAGGGAGAATGAATCAGTCTGTTTGGCCTCAAGAGAGTGTATATGAGCACAGAGGTAGACGTTTGCTGCTTGTGAGAAAGATAACCTAAATGTGGATTCTCACAGGAATCACCATTTATCATGGTTAATTTGACTCTGGAACATTAGAGGACATACCCTTTCACTGTCTGGCTTTGATGTTTAGTGAGTCAGCTTGTTCAGAAGTTATGGGTAATGTTAGTTTTATGTCTGTCAGCAATATTCCATCTGTAGCAAAGTGGCCAAAGTGAGTCTCGGGTAACCAAACCAGTGACTGATATTATGAACAACAATTCAACTGTATGTATTTTAGTGATATCTGTATTTCATATTACATGTTACATGTATGTGCCTCTTATGATGTAAAATAAAGTTCCTTCATGACAGAGGGCTGTGGGGTAGCCTAGTGGTTAAAGCGCCTAAGCTCGGCATGCCAAGACCCTGACAGGGATTTACCTTGAGTCCTGTATTTGAGGGTCCTTGGGACTTATACTCTTAATAGGGGTCCCAGACACTTAAACATTATTATTGATACTGTTATTGTTTTGTGTATCATCACATTTATTGTTACAGTAATTACATTGCAAATGATACCATAACCCAGCTAGTAGCAAACTCAGTGATAAGTTATTGTTACTTGATCACTCACTCACACTCACTCACTCACTCACTCACTCACTCACTCACTCACTCACTCACTCACTCTTCTGAAAAGGCAATGGTCACTCTTCTGAAAAGGCAATGGTCACTTAAGAGCAGGATATAACACTGTGGAGATGTGAAGCTTGCAGTGAAAGAGTTAAAGGCAGGTAATGCTGGCACTATAATGAGGAAAATGTGACACTTTAAGAGCAGGATATAAGATGAAGATGAGAAGATTGCCATTAAAGGCTGGTTATATTTGCACTTGGGGGAAATTGTGATTTAAGACAAAATACAACTATAGATACTGCAAGTTATCCTTTAAAAGGGTGGGCTGGCATATGGAGGGCAGTATCTGGCGCTGTTGAGGGCAGATTCTGGCGCTATAGAGAGTATGGTCTGGTTCTATAGTGAGGTTTACCATATACTTAGTAACTAGGGGTTCCACTGCAATTTCAGCTGTACCAAACAGATTAATATTCTCAGCCAAATCCAGAAAGTAAGCTGTATTCAGACACGTTTTCCGACACTGAATACACAGGAGAGCCAAGACTTGACTTTGAAATCAAGGAGGCCTATATTCATCCGGACACTTTTTCCATAAAGATGGCAGATCTGACTCCAATATTGACCAAGTAGACCCGCATAATTTCATTCTGTCAGTCACAAAGCCTGTTTGATATACAGCATGACCTCCCAGAGATACTATTACCCAGCCCACTTGGGCATCCCTGAAATGCTGCTTCCCTACAACTGGGTATCAGGAGGTATATCATACAAACACTCTGATGATTCTATCTGTCAGCAGACACAAATTGAATAATTTCAACTGAAGCACTTCAGTTGTTATTGCACAAAGGTGGGAAGGTTGATTGGTAGTAGCCCATGAGATTTGTGTAAAAGTCCGTCAGGGAGAATGAATCAGTCTGTTTGGACCCAAGAGAGTGTACATGAGCACAGAGGTAGACGTTTGCTGCTTGTGAGAGAGATAAGCTAAATGTGGATTCTCACAGGAATCACCATTTATCATGGTTAATTTGACTCTGGAACATTAGAGGACATACCCTTTCACTGTCTGGCTTTGATGTTTAGTGAGTCAGCTTGTTCAGAAGTTATGGGGTAATGTTAGTTTTATGTCTGTCAGCAATATTCCATCTGTAGCAAAGTGGCCAAGTGAGTCTCGGGTAACCAAACCAGTGACTGATATTATGAACAACAATTCAACTGTATGTATTTCAGTGATATCTGTATTTCATATTACATGTTACATGTATGTGCCTCTTATGATGTAAAATAAAGTTCCTTCATGACAGAGGGCGGTGGGGTAGCCTAGTGGTTAAAGCGTTCGCTCGGCATGCCGAAGACCCTGACAGGGATTTACCTTGAGTCCTGTATTTGAGGGTCCTTGGGACTTATACTCTTAATAGGGGTCCCAGACACTTAAATATTATTATTGATACTGTTATTGTTTTGTGTATCATCACATTTATTGTTACAGTAATTACATTGCAAATGATACCATAACCCAGCTAGTAGCAAACTCAGTGATAAGTTATTGTTACTTGAGTGGAAATTTACAAAAAGTATTTGGACTTTTTCTGCATCCCTGTGGATGTGCTAATAAATTTTGTTGCGTCCATTGTCAATTTTTATGCGTATTTGTTCTGTAAATCTCTGCCCGTGTTCGATTCTCCCCATGGGTACAATGTGTGAAGCCCATTTCCGGAGTACCTCGCTGTGATATTGCTGGAATATTGCTAAAAGTAGTGTAAAACTAAAGTCACTCATTCACTCACTCACTCCGGAGAGCGGAAGGTCGCGGGTTTGATCCCCGACTGCGTCATACCAAAAGACGTTAAAATATGGTACTTCTTGTACCCATTCATGCCCTGGCGCTTGGCATTAATGGGTACAACAAGGACTGGTCAGCTCGGACTCAGTATAATGTGTCTGAGTGGGGTATTCATGCTTCACTGCTGCATGGAATCTCAGTGGGCTAGCACTATAAAACCAGCTTAAGTCTGGGCTAGTACAAGCAGCCGTACCTACACACACACACACGCATGCACGTCGTCATATAAGCGAAATATTCTCAAGCACGACGTAAAACCCAATTTCACCTCACCTCACCTCACTCACTCACTCCTTCATGACGGTAGAGTGTTATCAATCAATCAATCAACAATTCAAACAAGTTTGAATCATATTTTAAACAAAGTCAAA